AACAACACGCCCCCCCCCCCCCCCAAGGATTTCCTATATGTTCCTGTTTTTTTGGTGCCACTTTCATTAACATTGAAAAATAAACATTAAAAACCAAAATAATAATAATAAATAAATAATAAAAATTGCCTAATATGTGGCCAAACAATTGATATTATGGGGATGGGTCAAGCAACACAAGCAAGCAATGCGCAAACTGTGCGCAAGATTTGTCAATTCACTATAGAGAAAGTGAAAGTAAAAAAACTGACGGAGCTTTCTAACGCTGCATTAACGGCGCATATTCTCGGAGACAACGAGAGACAATTGTATAAATTAATAGACCTGTAAAAAAAAAACCTTTTTAAAAACATTTTCAATAAGGATTAAGCTAATAGCCTAAATTTTAATTATCCTCACAGCGCGCCATGCGGTTTTTGACGCGTTGTTTTGACAATATCTCTGGCTATTGTTCACACATGATACAACGCATCTCCGTCTCTGCAGTCATCTCAACCTAATTCTAGCAACAGGAAATAGACAGACTATTTTACCCGCAGATTTTTTTTCTCTGGTGCTGTTTTGTGGTGTTGGTAAATTCACCACTTAATTTTAAGTTAAAATATTTTGTTGTAACTTGCGTTACTGGCATTGTAACGAGTAATAATATTACCCAAATTTTATTAGTAATGCATTATATTACTGTGTTACAGCAAAAAGTAATATACTACTGTATATCTCGTTACTTTTGTAATGCGTTACTCCCAACACTGCTGTTTTCCTTTAAAACAAAACTGCAAAATACTTGTAAACACACACTATTGTACATTTCTCTTCAACAACCACCAGGTTGGATGCCATTAAGAATTTGAAAACAATTTTATTTCCCAAAGACATGTCAGCTGTAGTGTGTTAGCTGACATCAGGACTTTTCAAAAACAACTCACTGTCAAATAATGACATTTCAAACAGTGTAAACAGGGCCAAAGATAATATCAAATCAAAGAGTTGAGTCTCTCACCAACCAGTCACTCAAAATAGCTATCACACACACACAAATTCTTCTGAACTGCTGAGAGTACATTTGCATCTGTATTCTGTCCCATACATGGATGAAAGATGATGTTATATAAATACAATACAATTTTTTTTTCAATCAGGTATTTTAAAATAAAATGCTAACACTCAAAGTTCATGCGCATACTCTATTTGGCAGATTCTATGCATTTTCCATGTTCTGTGATATTGGCTACATTCACACTGTCAGTTTTTGGGATTGACAACCGCATTTACTTACAGGTGTGAGTCTCGAAATGTCACATTCACACAGCAACTTACAGTAGCTTCTCGGATACTGTCTGTATGAATGTGCAGCGGGAGTCAAACCCGTATTCCTTACCAGTTACCATAGCGACAGTGACCAAAGAAATATCAAAAATGGCGACGTCCATAAAACTGAAAGTGTTATCACTTTCTGACACGACAAGAGTTCAATCGAGCCACAAGTTCATTCATCAAATCATCATTAACTGACAGCAGCTTTTATATTTGGGTGGAGAGCGGAGCATTTTAGTCACGCACAGAACACTCTAAATAACCGCACTGTGCGTGAACGTAACCGTATTAAGGACTCAAATACATGACTGACAACTATTCTGCTGCTGTGTGAGCATGGCCATTAAACCAGGGCTCTTCAAACAGAACAGGCAACCACTGTAACAGTACTTGGAGAAGCATCATTGGGATCATATTGTGCAAATGATATCCATAACTAAAAGGGTGCCTTAATGGAGAAATTTTGTGCAAAATGTTAATTTTCTCCCATGCTTTTGTGCTGTTTTGTCTGCTTGTTAGGTTGCATAACAGAACATAATCTTGAACTTGTACAAACAAGGTAAATTAGGTAATAACACTGCAAAGGCCACATGTATATTATTTTTACTGAAAATGTAAAACAAGAACTGACCATTACAACTGTCTATTTCACTTTTTCAGACAAATGTTCTGAAACTAAAAATGTCTCTAAAAGAAGACCACTTTTAATCCACCCTGAAATGAGCATTCATGCTGCTCAAACTTTTTAACATGAGGACTGAGAATTCATCTAGTCACAATCTCCTCGTCATTTGTTGTGATATGGTCCACACACACACCTCACTAGTCCATCAGCACAGTGTTTAACGGGGGACGGTCCTGTATAAAAGCAGGTGCACAGGATCCCTCACTGTAACACACACTTCTCTTTCCGACTTCCATATTTTCTGCGCCTCATTTCTAGTCCTCTCTCCAACCTCTCATCCTCTTCAAGAGCCCTTGGGAATGAGATGACAGAGAAAGAGTAAGAAAAAGAGAGAAAGTCAGTGGTGGTTGACCATAGAAATGAATGTTTCTGTAAGACTCTTATGCTCACCAAGGCTGCATTTATTTGATCAAAAATACAGGAGAAAGGCTAATATTGTGAAATATTATTAGAATTTCAAATATCAGCTTTCTATTTGAATATATTTTAAAATTTAATTTATTCCTATGATGCAAAGCTGAATTTTCAGTAGCCATTACTCCAGTGTCACATGGTCTTTCAGAAATCATTCTAATATGCTGATTTGCTACTCAAGAAATTCTTGTCTAAAAAAAAAGTATAGAGTATATTTTGTAATGTGAATGAATCTCACCCTTTCTCTTTGGCGTCTATATCATGCACAAGCTCGTCTCTCTGGTTGACTAAAGACACCAGCTCCTGCAACAACAGCTGCTCTCTGGTTTTATGGGCCTGGGTTTTCTTCCATTCTTCAGTTTTACAAAACAAGCAAGACCAAACTTTGAGGACAATGAGAGATTGCCACATGCCCCAACTGATTAAACTACTTGATGAGTGCCAAAACATCTTTAATATGTAAAAACACATGCATATGCTCCTAATTACATGTGTACATTTTCTGGAATTCCTAGTGATATAGTTCTCCATTTGACATATATTTAAGTAACAACATTCGTACCTTCCACAGCCATTAAATCTTGAAGCTCTTTCTTTAGCAGCTCAAACCTCTTCTCCAAATCTTGCTCTTCTTGTCTATCACACAGAAGGAATGATAATTAGCAATGTATCTTAAATCATCCACTGTTCAAATGAGAGGTCATCATCTAAATGAGTACAGTGAAACACAAAGTAAGTGAGTATAAGTGTGAAAAGACATACAGTGACTGCAGATGGTCTTGTCTCCTGATCAAAGCATTCTTCTTGTTGACCAGGGTAAACCACTCCTGAATCAGTGTCTCTTCTTCTACACGATCACTACCTGTAAGTGTATGATAAGAGCACAACTTCATCAAGACATACATAATGAACTGCATTGTCATTTGCTTAGCACAATGCATCATAATCTATGATCTATGTATATGTGTGTATATTTAGTGCAGGGCGATATAACGGTTCAAACGGTAAACCGGTTAGAATTACGCACACGGTGTGAATTTAAAAAAAAAAAACGGTTAGAATTATGCACACGGTGTGAATTTTTAAAAAACCAGCATACCAGTACAAGTGGCTAAGCAACATAGACAGCGCCACCTGCTGTCAGAAAGTGAATTTGCATTCTCACGCAGCCCGTCTGCAGTTTCTGTTATGTTCTGTTTCTGATTTGTTTTATTTAGCATAATTTCACACAGCTAAGGTCAGACCATTCTGTTTTTGCTTTCAATTTTGAAATTATACAATCTACTTTACATCAAAAACTGCTCATACTATAATGTAGCATGTTTGTTTGGATTGTGAACTGTTTCATGCAATCTGATTCATATAAAGGCACAGTCAGGGACAAACCATGAAACCTCCAGAATCCTAAAAAAAACATGATACAGAACTTCGGTCATACAGCCCAATAAATACACATATGTGGGCTTTATTTCTTTATTTAATAGGTTAATATATTACGGGAGGCAGGATGCAAGAGTTCAAGCGTAAGCTTTCATTTGTTGCTTGATAAAAATAGGTTCTCAAACTACTTTAATCAGTGATTTACCAGATTCCAAAAGTCTTCTCAGTTTCCTCTCCACAATGTCTGCTCTGCGATCTATCTGCTTCTGTTCAGCCTCCAGCGCCTGCATCTCACTATGTACATATTGGCTGCCATCCTGCAAATACACAAACACATCATAAACACATGCAAATACTCACACCCATATATACGCATTTTACAACCCTATCAAATATTGGTTTGGAGTTAGTTTACTATAAAACACTATTACATATTATTTCAACATTATTTCAACTGACTTGAGTCATCAAGCCACAAATAGAAAAGCGTTGAATGACCTGATTCCCTCCTGCAGTGGCCTCTTCAACATTCTCTACATTTTCTACACAAACAAGACAGAAGAACAATACGTCTGAATCAGATCATTTAAATGCATGCAATAGTTTACAACAGTTTACAATAACGTACAACCCAAAAATAATTTTCATAATTTCTTATATTCTGCAGAAAATATGTTCAGCATATGTTATGGATTTAACATGTCAGTGTCTTTGAACAAAGTCTTTGAAAGGTGAGTTTTGAGTTAATTCTTACGTGACTCTGAGCCTCCTTTGGCTGCTTCACTTTCTGCTTGGACTGATGCAGCCTGGGTAAAAAACATTATAATACACAGCAGCTCAGTAATATACTACTGTTTATAAAGTTAACTCAGTTATAAGAACATTTTAAAATAATCACCCTCACAAAGGAGACAATAATACAGTGCTCTGCATAATACAACCCAGTTCCAAAAACAATATCTCTCTCGTGACACATGAATCACACGTTCAAAAACATCCATTTTGCACTGTAAACAAGGGCCGTCACAACACGCCAATACAGTCACACATGCCGGGTCCTGAGGTTTATATAATGATCCTGAATACTGTACAGGTTCGGTTAAAATGAGTTTCATGAAAAATGCATGAAACTAAAGAGAGCACAGACCATTTACAATTCACATTTCACTCATTATATTCTTTTAGGGTTGGACAGCTGTGTGATAATATTAAAGGTACATTACAGACAATATTTAAAATATTTAGCTTTTATGCATTATAGTTATTATTAACAATTTTGTGTATGTGTTTCAAACTAGTCTTCAAGCACTGACCATACTATTAAATTTAAGACTAACAACATATCAATTTAACATTACTGGTCAAAAGTTTGGAATAATTAAAATTGTTCATGTTTTTGAAAGAAGTCTCTTATGCTCACCAAGGCTGCATTTAATAATTCAAAAATACAGAAAAACACTAATATCGTAAAATATTAATACAATATAAAATAACTGTTTTCTATCTGAATATATTTTAAAATGAAATGTATGATTTCTGAAGCATCATGTGACACTGAAGACTGGAATAATGGCTGCTGAAAATTCAGCTTTGCCATCACAGGAATAAATTATATATTCAAATATATTCAAATGTTCAAATAAATTCAGCCTTGGTGAGCATAAGAAACTTTTCAAAAACTTTCAAAAACTATGGTTGAAATATTTTACCTCTGTACCACTCTGCTGTTCGTGTGGTTCAGGCTCATCCAGTGACTCTCCCCGCAGCTTCGATCTGCGGTTTTTAACAAGATCTGCATCCTTGAGATGAGAAAAAGCCTTTCTGGGTGGTGCCACTGGAGGCTGAGTGGCCCCTGATCCTCCAGCCTGACTTGGGCCCTGCACTCGCTTTGTTCTTGGAGGTGGCACCAAAACACCAGCACCTCCCTTGACTTCCTTTTCAGGGAAGCTTCCATTGGTCTCTAGAGTGATGCCGCTGCTCTGGAGCCTTTCGGCACAGTAGCGAACAGCGGCTTCAGGGTCGGCTTCCTCCCTCTTCTCACCAACAGCGTAACTGGACTCGCTGCTGTTCTTCTCGATCTGTATGACACTGAGCTCCTGGCCCGTGAAATAGGTACGGATCTGGTTGAGATACGTCATCACGATGAGCCTGTCAGGCACTGCCAGCAGCACCATGTCAGAGGGCTCTATCAACCTAGAGATGCCCAGTTCAGCAAAGCCATCAAACGCCTATGAATACACAAGGAAATATTATTTTTTGCTATTTCCTGATCACAGGCAAGTGCACAGCAAAAATGGCCTTGTAATTTCTGTTGTACAGTAAAACTTGTACATACTGTTTAGACTTAAAATATAACAACATTAAATAGGGTCAGTCAATTAGATCACAGTCAAAGGAAATTAAAAAAGAAAAAAATCTCATTATCTGATTTGAAAATGGGTGGATCACCTTCTTGTTGTTGCGTTTAATGTCATATGGATCCAGCATTTCATAATTCCTAAAGACAGAATAACAAACAAATAAACAAAATACATAACCCATGTAACATTTATGAAATGAGCTTAATGCCTTCTTCCACATAAAAAACACCCACACTTTATCTGGATGGAAGTGATGCAGGATGGCACAGAAAGCGAGGCCGTTTCTCCATGAGGTGCTGAAGTTTGATATCCGGACGCCTTTGCAACCTTGTGTGACCTTTTGGCACCATTCCAACAGAGACTGACTTGAATTCACCAAGGTCGCAATCTAGAATAGAAGGCAAAGATAAATTAACTACCTGCTCTTTGATGTCACTATGGTAATATATTCAACATAATTAAAAAGCAGCAGATTTAACAACCTCTGTTTCACTGGTTGGTGATGTGTGAGCTGTGGAACTTCCCTGAAGGTCTATGGCATCTGCTGCAGCTCTTCGTTTATTACAAACAGGCACTGTGGGCTCATTATTGGGCTTTTCTGAAACCTCACTTTGACTGGCTGATGAGGAACTGGGAATGGAGACGTCTTCTGGGAAAGAGGCACTTAAACGTTTCTTCACGCGAGGCATTGGCACAGGAAGACTGGAGGAATCTTCAGCTGCTGCTTGTCTAGATGAAAGAAAGAGAAAAATTAAACAAAACTGATTTCTACATTCAAATAAACCAGTATAGCAAAAGCTATTCAACTCTTATAGATTTATCTCTCGAGCCTAAAAAGAAATTCATATTTAATTTCAAGATGCATAACAAAATTAAACAAGCACCAATGTCTTCACCTTTATCATATATAATCATTTCTTTTTATTTACATTTTGCACATTTTTCATAAAGACAAACAGTTTAACCTAAAAAGCCAAACCTTTAATGAGTAAATTAACCATAAACATCAATTGTTTTTGAAAACCCAAAATCAAAGAAACAGTATTATTGGTCGAAAGACTGTTAGAGCACCTCTAGTGACCAATTACTGCACTCGTAAAAATAAAAATGGGCATGTGTAATGTCTACAAATGTGACAACAGTTTATCTACAAAAACTTACCTACACACATCTAAGATAACACCTGTGCCATCTACAACCTCAGCATCTCCAGAATGCACAGCATTCATGTCTTCCTCAACACTTGGATATTTTTCAGTTTGTTGCTCTGTTCCCCCTTTGTCCTCACAATGCTCACCAAGTGGAGCACCAGTCTTGGGTTTTTCACTGATATCTGTCACATCAGTTTCTATCTGCTCAACAGGTTCTAAACAAGACTCATCCAGGCTTTTTCTGTTTAGCTCTACTTCATTGGCACTTGAGGTGGTGGAATCCTCAAGACTCTCTATCCCTGCTTCTGTCCTCACCTGTGTAGCCACTTCAACAGAACATTGTTCATTTTCTGAGATAGGAAGCTTGCCTTCTTCTGAGACTGCAGAGTAAGAATCTTGAGGTAAGCTTGGAAGGTTCTCATCAGTGAACTTGTCACTGAGTTTCTCTGAACGGGGAATCGGGACGGTCATGCTTGTTTCACTTGGTCCTCCCTCAAGGACTCCTATGTCAAGTAAATCTACAGGAGGTGGTGGACAACTTGAGGGAACAGTGAGATCATCTGGAAAAGAACCACTGAGACGTTTCTTTACACGTGGCATTGGCACTGGCAGACTTGAATCTTGATGGTCTTCTTTTTGGAGAACAATGTTGTCTGAACCTGCTTGAGATGGAGGAGTTGATGAAGGAGCTAGAAGAAAATCTGGAAAAGAACCACTGAGACGTTTCTCCACACGTGGCACAGGAACTGGAATACTTGAATTTTGATGGTCTTCTGTTTTGTTAAAAATGTTATCTGAACCTGCTTGAGATGGAAGAGTGGATGAAGGGGTTGGAAGATCATCTGGAAAAGAACCACTGAGATGTTTCTTCATACGTGGCACAGGGACTGGAAGACTTGAATCTTGATGGTCTTCTGTTTGGAGAAAAATGTCTGAATCTGCTTGAGAGGAAGGGCTGGATGAAGGAGCTGGAAGATCATCTGGAAAAGAACCACTGAGACGTTTTTTTGAACGTGGCATTGGGACTGGCAGACTTGAATCTTGATGGTCGTCTGTTTTCTTAAAAATGTTGTCTGAAACTGCTTGAGATGGAAGAGTGGATGAAGGGGTTGGAAGATCATCTGCAAAAGAACCACTGAGACGTTTCTTCGTACGTGGCACAGGGACTGGAATACTTGAATCTTGATGGTCTTCTGTTTGGAGAAAAATGTTGTCTGAATCTGCTTGAGATGGAAGAGTGGCTGAAGGGGTTGGAAGATCATCTGTAAAAGATCCACTGAGACGTTTCCTCACACGTGGCACAGGGACTGGAAGACTTGAATCTTGATGGTCTTCTGTTTGGAGAAAAATGTTGTCTGAATCTGCTTGAGATGGAGGGGTTGATGAAGGAGCTGGAAGATCATCTGGAAAAGAACCACTGAGACGTTTTTTTGAACGTGGCATTGGGACTGGCAGACTTGAATCTTGATGGTCTTCTGTTTGAAGAACAATGTTATCGGGATCTGCTTCAGATAGAGGGGTGGATGAAGGAGAAGGAATATAATCTGTAAAAGATCCACTGAGACGTTTCTTCACACGTGGCATTGGAACTGGAAGATCAGTGCATTTGATTTGCATTTTCACTTCCAACACCTCAGGAACATTCAAATCCAGTTGTACCTGATCTTTCACATTCAATTGATCACCAGCTTGAGTCTTTCTTGTGTCTTCAGACTGAGACATATTGGTGATGACAGTAGACAGCGTGCTCTTTTCTTCAAACTCCCCACTGGCTTCATCACCTTTGCTGGTTTGAGCTTTACTCTTCCGCCTCTGAGGAGCACGTAATTGTTTGACTGTGTCATTTTGAGGCATTAGGGGAACATTTTCTCCATTGTTGCTCTGACATGATGCTATCATTTCTTTGGGTGTTGGGTTCTCTTTGGGTTCTGGTGAACAAATCTCAATTTTGGATAATTTTACCACATTTTCAGGAAAAGAAGCACTTGTTAGTGGGACAGGTATATTCATCAAGCGATCTGTTTCTAAAGATGTACCATTATCTGTCGCAGCTGAAGTGAGTGCTCTACCTGGCTGTACATTATGTGATGTATTCTGAGAATAATTATCAGTTTGTTTTATGACACAGAAGTTGTCGCTCTGCACAGTTGGCTCAGCTGGATTGGAAATTGATGTTGATAACGTAATTGTCTCTTGAAGAATGTCTTGCTTCTTAGTCCTTCTAGGTGGCACAAGTTCTTTTGAACATGAAATGGTCTGTTCTGTGACAGTTCTTGGGTTATGAGAATTTTTTGAAGACAGTAAGGACATAGGTGGTTTCTCTTCATCCAGCAATTCGTCCTTAGTCCGTTGGATGAAAAGAGAGACTTCTTGGACAAAATGATGTTGTGGCCTTAAGAACAAAAATACAGTATCACAACATTTATTTTCTGTTGAGATAATGAATGCACTGACTGTCCCATGACACACTTATAAACCACAGTCAAACACCCTTTTAAGCAAGCAACTTTACCACTGCATGAAATTCTGCCTTCAGAAATTGCACATAACTTTACAACATGCAACCAGTCACAGCAACTGCAGATTTGGTAATAAAAGCACAAAAGATCTCAGCTTACAATATTAGCTGAACAAATACACGTCTTTCAAGGTGACGTGTGTAATTTCTTTGTTTTAAAACAATTTCTCTTCCCAGATTCATTTGCAGATACAACAGTAACAGCAGTAGGCCTACAACAGTAAGTAAAAACAGTGGCGTTTTCAAAATAGTTTCAGTCTGCTTAAGCATTTCAACTTCTGTTTTCTGCATTACAATACCATGGTTTGGGGGCGGGACAACCCATCTGGCCAAACAATGAAAGAAGGGGCTAAAATGAAAGGGCAGTAGGAGTGTTGCATATCTGGACACAATCAATATTTCTGCAATTCCATTTGGTGCCTCTAGGGTCACTGAAATTACACACTGCACCTTAGGGCAAAAGGCAAAATTAGACACATGGACATAAATATTTAGAGGGAAAAAAACACACACACACACACAAAATAAAAGCCATTTCAGTGCAAAGTGTTTGCAAATGTGAGTTGGGAAACACAAAAAGAAAAGAAAAAAGAATATAGCCGTGCTGCCGTTTGCAGGACTTGCAGGTTGGGTTTGATTGCAACACTCCTGAGGAACTCACCCGTCCTCTGGAAATTTTGTTGCTGACAGCTCATCCTTCAACATTTTACATTCTGTCACAATCTCATTACCAGCTTCCTCTTGAACAGAAGTTGTACACTCCTGTATCAAAGAGTCAACATCTGTTTTGTCCTCCTCCTCTTTAGTTATCTCATGAAGGTCAGCGTCCGTTAAAGGGGGCCACTTCCTCATTAGGCAGAATTCTTCATCTTCAACAAACCAGCTTTCAGTCTCTTTTGATGACAGCGATGTTTCTGAACAACCACTAACCAAACGCCACATGTAGGATTCAGCAGAATCAAACACCTCAGACTCCGCTGCCTCTGCGAGTGCGTCCAATGAATGATCGCATCCAGTGGCCATGCGAGTGCTGCTGTCCTCGAGATCCACAGAGGATGAAAGACTGTCGAGAGGATCTAAAGTGTGCGTGTCCATGACCGATTCAGAGATGGAGGGCTGCAATATTGCTGCAACGGTCTCATAACTAAAAGACAGCAACAATTGAGTCGTGAAAAGTAAAAAAAAAAACTAAAAAAAAGTTTTCAGAACAATAAACGGCAACATATGATATTAATGAAAATGAATTACTTTAACAAAAGAACAGAGTATGGGTATGAGTAATTTTCTTGATTTCTCAGGATATTAAAGAATCTTACAAAACTAAAAAATGAAACAGATCTACATAGATTGTAAGATTGTTTTTCAAATAAAATCAAAGCAAACATGCTCAGTGATTTCACCCAGTTATGTTATGTGATCTTACCCTCTGTGAAAAACATCAACTATAGTCTTAACAAGACCAGAAGATCCTTCTTTTTCAGTGGAAGTATCATCTGCCTCCAAAACTTCCCATCCTAACGCTATAGCAGTCTCTCCAGACTCTGCAGTATCATTACTTTTACTTGCAGACTGCTCCCCGACATGTTGCTCTTCCTCCTCATGGTTTTCAATACTGATAAAGGATAGTTCAATAGTCAACATGGTCTGTGATGAGATTCACATGCACCATGCATATCTCTCATGGACATGCACCAAAAGTGTTTTTAGGCACAACATACAGTGGAATTATATGTTAGTGAAGAAAAAGTCAGATAATAATCAGGCCATAACAAATCATGTTGAGCCATGTTTTATTAGATAATTTTGAATTACACGATGGGTGTTGTCTTTACATGAACAGGCTTCCATAAAGCTCCCATTAAGCCTCAAAATGTCAAGAAATAATATACTAATATAAGATAATTACATAATATAATATATGTAAAATAACTAAAGCAAAATAATTGTGGCCTCAATTAATGTACAGAACAACTCAAACAATGTCAAAACAATATATTGCACATGCAAGAAAAGAACACAAATTTATAGTTCTAAAAGTGTTTTCACACACACACACACACACACACACTCAAAACATGCTATGTAACTCACCCTTCAGCCAAGGGAATCTCATGAAAACTTCCTATTTCTTTAGAATTATCTTTAAAAAACAAAGAAAGAAAAAAAATAATAAAATCTATATATTTCTGTGCATACATATTGCTCAATGTTCAAGTCACACTCTAAAAGTGGGTCTCTTACCAGTCCCTGTTATATCCAGTGTTTGATTTCTTTCTGATTCTATGTATTGGGTAAATGTGGCTTCAAATTCGGTGTGTTCTTGGGTTGGACTTGATGGAGAAATTGCATATGTATCTGGGAAATCAGGAAGCCTTGTTTCAACTGGGGAACATGGCACTTCAGTGAACAGGTTACTGAGATCTGTTTCATCGGTTGCAGAGAATGGAGCCTTTGGAGAAGCTGGGAAGACGGTTGTTTTTGTACACTCTTCTTTAAGTCTTACTGAGCATGGAAACCCATAATTGCTGGCATTATTAGGGCAGGTAGGAGCAAGCAAGAACATGGTTTTTGAATATTCTTCATTATCCTTTGTATAACTTAAAGACAAAACCAGTCTTTCTTTAAGAGGTTTAACCCATATGGGCTTCTGAGTGGACCATATGCTTTCTTGAGACTCTTTTATGGGCACAGATTTTACTGTAGGAACACCTACAATAAAAGAAACCATTGGACAAGAGTGCAAAATGCTGACTACATCTGGTTCTTTATGGAGATAGAAACCCTCCACTTTAACCTGAGGTAGAGAGGGGAAACCAGGTATGCAAGCTTCTCTTGGGCATGTGGGTACTAGTGCAAACATCCTCTGCAAAATATATTTGTCTATTTCTTCATACGGAGTTGCGAAATTAAACTGGACAAGCAGCTCTGATCTTGGTCTCAGCGGCTTCTCCAACAGGGGCGTTTCATCTTCAAACCTTGTTCCTGTGTTTATTCTGTCACTTGATGAGAATCCCATGATTCTTGAAGTCTTTAGAATGCACTGATGAAGATCAACCATACTGAGAGGAAGTGTAGCTTTGCGCTTAGGTGCATATGGGAATCCTGGTATTCTTGCCATTGGTGGACAGGTTGGAGCCAATGCAAACATCATTTTAGTTAATTCACTGAGCCAATCTACTCTGTCAATAAGAACAACAGGTTGCTTTTTAAAAGATACATTGCACAATGTTTCCTTTTCAACAGACCAATCTAAATGATCTCTTTTAGAAGAAAATCCTATAACATTAGACTTCTCCGGGCAAGTGGGAAGCATGCGTAACATTATTGATTCGGGCACAGCTGGAAAACCTGGAACACAGACCACTGATGGACATGTAGGTGCCAAAGCAAACATTCTATGACTGTTTTCTTTGCATATCTTGTCCATGTCCAAAACAACAGGGGGTTTCTTTAATGGATTTGACCACAAAATGACTGTACTCAAAGGCCAATTGGACATCTTAGGGGTCTGGATGCTCGGACAACCACCTATATATGAAATCTTTGGGCAAGAGAGACAAATGTTTTGCATGTTTGGTTCCATCTGTGATTTACGATGTGGTCTAGATGGAAAGCCTGGAATACATGATGCTTTCGGGCATGTTGGTGCCAGAGCTATAATCTGGGAGTCTTTTTCATCTTTAATGGGGTCAAAAATACCAGTCTGTCTATCTTTCAATAAATTGCAAAAGATTATTGTTTGATCACCAGTGCACTCCATGCCTTCATAGACCCTTAGAGAAGGACATCCAGGGATTCTAGAAAGCACTGGACAGGATGGAAGGAGCTCCAACATATTTGGCTCTGCTTGGGGTTCAGGGATAGAATCTGGCATTTGTGCAGCATTTTCAGATACAAAGGTCAACATCTCATTTGCAGGCTTGGAATCATCCCTCAGTTCTGACTCAGCAAATGTAGACTCTTGAAGACTTAATTTTTCACATGATTGAATAAGTATTTCTTCACTCTTTGGTGCAGATGTGAAATCAGGAACAAGTTTTGAAGATGGAACTGCAGGCTTGGAATCATCCCTCAGTTCTGACTCAGCAAATGTAGACTCTTGAAGACTTAATTTTTCACATGATTGAATAAGTATTTCTTCACTCTTTGGTGCAGATGTGAAATCAGGAACAAGTTTTGAAGATGGAACTGTGGCCACCATCATTACAGGCATCTCTGAATACTCAATTGGGCTTTCAATGTGTAAAATTGGCTTTGTTTTAGGATGTTCTTCGAATAATGATGTTTCCATGCTCAGCCACTCCTCATGATGCTTTTCCTCTGGAATTGGGGTCTGTGAAGAAGTGTCAACAACAATGGATGCTTCTGGAAAAGACATACATGGGGCCTCTGTGGGTCTCTTAGCAGATGGAAAGCCGGGAATTCTTGTTTTATTTGGACATGTGCAAGACAGGGACACCATATTTGCCTCATAGGGGGATTTTTCCAAGTCTGGCATTAACAAAATATTTTTTGTTGATTTATGTGGCTCATCCCAAATTATACTCAAATCAGTAGGCCAGTTGATAATGTCTGTTTTGCATATGCTAGACAGCGCTGTTGATGGACATCCAAAAATTCTCGAGAACGGTGGACATGATGGAAGAAGATCTACCATGTTTGGGACACACTCTTTTTGCACTCCTGTAGGCCGATCTTCAGCTGTTAAAAGGACCAGACTATTAGGATCCTCTGTAGTCTCTTCTTCTTTCTTAAAACCTTCAGCAAACTGTTCTGGTCTGTCTTGCGATGCCCATAATACACCTTGATCCACGTCATCGTTTTCAATCAGAGGGTCTCTGTAATTCTCAGAAGGTGGAATCTGAGCACATATGCTTTGACATCTGAGAAAAATAAGCATATAATCAGATGTGAGATTGTATGGCAATACAAGATGATCTGACTGCATGCATCATTCCGATCACTGGCAGCCATTTAACTGATTCAATATACGTGATGCAGGGCTAAATTGTCTCTGTTACACCACACATGCTGTGCCTAGTTTTCACACCATCATGCATTTATGATATTTAAGTCATAGGTGACCCAAAAAATGACAATTATGTCATCATTAACTTACCTTCATGCTGTTCCAAACCTGTATGACTTTCAATGTATGGACAAAAAAACACTGAAGTATTTTTCAAAATATTTTCGTTCGTGTTCAACAGAAGAAAGAAATGCATACAGGTTTGGAACAACATAAAGGTGAGTGAATGATGGCAAATTTTTCATTTTGGGTTGAACTATGCCTTTAAGAGAGTAGAGGACATACAGTAAATGTTATATGCAGGCGGCAAAAATCTGATGCAGTTGCGGCAAGGCAAAGCAATAAATGAATACTCTCTATTTTATGTTTCCTTGCAAAACTCACCTCTCCTCAACAGTCAGTAATAGTGGCATGTCTGGTATGGAGTGCCACATTCTGCAATGCATTTTCCTAGAAACAATTGTCAAAGTAGGTCATGCACTATCCACTGACCGCAGGATGTGCAAAACAAAATGTCTATTGAGCAAAAAACACTTGGGAAATTCTGAACTTACCCCCTCTCCAGAATTCCCTTTTTTCCTTCCTCACATCTTGCCCAAAAGTTCACATTGTCCTTGGTCTTCTCTAATGTAAAACTATTGTCAGAATTGTTTGCACTGGACAGGTCTATCTCCGTGTCTGCTGAACCAAGCACAGCTGAAGTTTCTTTTTTACGGCCAACATCTTCTGGTGACTTCCGGCTATTATTTGCATGACAAAGAATATGTGGAGATTCTGAATATGTGGATGGAAAGCCAGGGACATTGGACTGCTTTGCACAGGCTGGCATAATCATAGCGATGTCTTCTATGTGAAAATTCAGATGGTCGTCATATGTTTGATTCAAGTTTATTAAGGAAGAACACACCATGTCGGACTCATCCTTTGAGGTCCTCTTGTACAGTTGCTTTGCATCCAGAGGCCATGCACTTGAATCTAATGCTTCATTTCCCAACTCAACAGATGGCATACCTAATACCTTTGTAAAATGTGGACAACATGGCATGAGGGAGACCATATCTGGTGCTTTCTTCTCAGTTTTTTTTCTCGGAGCAGATGGGAAGCCAGGCAATTTAGCACTGATTGCACAAGTTGGGCGCATAGCTACCATTTCCTTGATGGCGTTATCCTTTATTTCTCTGTACTTAGTTGGAACAGCATGTATGGACTGACACTTTCTGATTAATTGTTTAACCCATAGTGGCATTTCATTTACAGGCCACTGTAATTTCTCTTCAGATATTATGCTTGATAGCATCCCAGGTACATTTGAGACTGTTGGGCAAGAATGGAAAAGATAAACCATTAATTTGGGTTTTGGTGCAGATGGAAAGCCAGGAACACTTGCTTTCACTGGACAACTTGGCAAAATAGAATACATTCCTTTAAAACTCTCTTTGTCCTGATGAGCAATGTCTAACTTGTCAGATGTGTACATTGGCGGACACCTCATACAAAAAGCTTTCTCCTTAAAGGGCCAATTATCTATGAAATCCTTATCAATTTCGCTTGGGACTAAAGAGGGAACGCCTGGCGTTTTAGCTGTCCATGGGCATATTGATAGAGTACCAGACGTTATTTGTGTTTCAGGGATGAGCCACAGTGACGAAGGAAATCCAGGAGTCCTTGCTTTTCTCGGGCAAGATGGTACCAAGCTCACCATCCCTGTTAACTGGTCCTCTTTCAATATATTTACAACTTGAGGCAAACTGGACTGGTTCCTTTGTGCTATTATCACAGATGATTGATTGTTGGATGGCCACGGTTGGAAGACATTTTGACTGGCAAGTACTTTTGCAGATGGAAATCCAGCAATGCAGGAAACTTTTGGACAACATGGTGAAATCCTGACCATACTTGGTGCAGCTGGTTTTGGAGCAGATGGAAATCCTGGAGCCTTGGGTGCTGCTGAGCAAGATGACTTCAATGCAACCATCTTTCTTGCAGTTTCAAAATCCACCTTTGTTAAGGACATTGGCGAAATCTGTTGCTTGATTTCCCTAAAATAAAATATTAAATTCTCTTTAGGCCAGGTTTCATCTGTGCAAATGATTGGAGATCTTGAAGGTAAACCTGGAACTACAGAGACATCTGGACATAATGGAAGGAGATTGACCATACAGAACGGCAAAGATGGGAATCCTGGGATGCTGGCAGTTCTTGGACAAGTTAACTGTAAGGACACCATATTTTCTACTGTGCTTTGGTTATACAATGAGCAATCCATATCTTCAATAAGTCTTTCTGGTTTCTCCTTTTGAATGTACTCTTTCAGGATCTTCACAGACTCGTCCCAAGGCCACTTTGTGTCTTGAAAGGTAATAGATGGCATCCCAGGTGCAAAAGCAGTTCTCGGACAGGCTGGAAGAAGATATATCATGTTGGGAACAGATGGAGAACTGTCAACATTGGGTTCTTCTCCTTCATGTGCTTTCTTGCAAACAGGGAGAGCACAGACTTCCTGGTTCATCCTAGGTAGTTGGTCTACAAAAACGTCTCCTATTTGATTCTCAGTTATGTTGTCAGCTAATATCGATGACGACCAAGGAGAATGGGACTCTTTTGGGCAAGAGGGCAGCAAAGCGGCCATGCTTTTGGTGCTGAGGGACAGGGACATTAGAACAGAGATCAGAGGGAGGATGTAAAATGGATTTATGAATAATAAGAAGCAAATGGACCGCAACACATACAGTATATGCATTTTATATTAATATAGCGTAACAAGCTTTAAATGTAACACAGTGACTATATGCTGTCTTATAACGTGCATCATTCCCCACTTACCCTTCATCAGTGTGATCTGACTGGGACATTTCTGTATTTGAGAACAGCTGTGGAACAGATTTTGGGCTGGCCTTTTGCACTTGTATTTCTGCTAGTTGAACGCTACTTCGAAAGGGCTCTGCCTTGTCTTTATGAGGAATCATCTCATCTTCTGTCTGCTCATGTGCAGCTGAGTGTAATATGGCCACCTCAGCAGAGCTCTGTGAATTCTCGGATTGATTGATCTGGACCTCAGTTAATGGGCCGGAGAATGTAGAGGCTGCAGCAGGTTCTGCGACAGTTTCGAGGGCTGCGTGGGTGGGTACTCTATCTGTATCAGACAGCTCTGATTTTGACACCTCAAAATGTGTGACACCAGTGACAGAAGGTGACTTCTGGTCACTGGGCAGCAGAGAGGTCATACTCTCTGGTCTAGGAAGAAAACACATCAGAACTGATGAAGAGTGCTGGGATAACACCAAGAACAAAAAAGATCTAAATTATATGGGATTGCATCACCTTGAAACAATGTGAATTACCTTTCTCTGAAATGAATAAAGTGTTAATGAAACACCATGCTGATATTTAAAGTATTTTAAAGCAATTTAAAAAACAAAACAAAACAATTGTTTCATGCTAGCATTTGTATAAACATAAAAATGCTCATATATTATTTTTTTTCCTTCCTTCATTCATTCATTGCAATGTGCCAATTGTTTCAACATACAAACTAATCCAAAAAAAGCAAATTAAGTGACTTTAACACTGAATTTAAACTAAAGAAACCCAATAGCCTCAAAATGTCAATAACTCTAAAAATTTAAATTCAAAACTCTTTTGTCGCTTTTGTCACCTTGTGGTCACTGGTCAGTTGCCTAACTTGACTAAATTTATATCATAACAATGTTAACTTTTGGGTTTAAAATAGGGTTAAAGTCCTCACAAATGTAAGTAATCATTAACATTTATGATCAACATTTATAATCACACCAAAACATTCAGTTTGATTCCACATAATACAATACAATACAATAAAAAATACATTAGGCTGTTACAGTTTCCTCCAAGATTTCCAGAAAAGTCAAAGAGCCAAGAGTTCTCTGTTCACACCAAAGTCAACCATAGTAGTAAATGCAACACTCAAGTATACCAGATATTGAAACCAAATTGTCAGTGCTTTGCTGGTGTCAACTAACACTTGTTCACTCCAATGCACTTGTTATTTACACCAACCAATCAGCAACACTCAGTTTTCTACATATTACTCACCCTTTTGCAGGCCGCAAAACCTCAAGTCCAAAAACAGGCTGTTGCTTGTCCATACTGCTGTTTGGTCTTTGGTTGGCTATACTGATGACTCCGGCTCTGCGAGGGTGGGGTTCATAGGTTTGATGAACATCTGTTGGCTTAACATCTGCATCCTCATCAGCTGTAGAAATATGCCCAAAGATCACACAAGAATTACTATTATGTCAAAGAAAACACTCACATTTATATACAATGAAAGATTAGCTGTTAAAGCAGCTGTAGTGTATGCTTACCAGAAGACACTGTATTAGGACATTCCTCCTCTGCTAATACACTTAACTGTCTGTGTTGCTCTGAAATAGAAATGTATAATATGTCATAATAATATGATATTTCTATAACAACATATTAAGCACAAATGCAGCATTCTGGCATTCTGCTGAGGCATTATTATTATCAGATGCCATAAGCCTCATACTTGTTTGTTAAAGTACAAATCTTCTTGTAAGATCAGTATTTAACAAAATTCATGCAAATCATACAAGCTACATGTATCTGATCAATCTTATCAACTTATCAATCGATCATCTGTTATGATATATCTAACATCATTCACTAGAAGAGTTTTTTAAAAGAAATTAATACTTTTATTCAGCAAGAATACATCAAGTTGATCAAAAGTGATAATAAAGACATTTATAATTTTACAAAACATTTCTATTTAAAATAAATGCTGATCTTTTGAACTTTCTATTAGTCACTGTCTTACAAAAATATTCAGTAGCACAACTGTTTTCAACATTGAAAATAATAAGAAATGTTTCTTGAGCGCCAAATCAGCAACAGTAGTGTATATTATAACATTAACAGTTTGCTGTTACCAACTAGCTTTGTTCATGTGTCCTCCAGGGGGCGTAACAATGTAATTTAAGAAATGTGCAAATAATATGCTATCTGATTGTCACTGATAATCTCCATTTCTGTTTTCTTGTACAAAAGCTTGTCCCTATTGAAACTTCTGTACGTTTGTGGAAAAAGGAACAATTCAAAACACTATAATAAAACATAAATATTGTTTAACGCAATGCTGCCTTAAAGGGGTCATATGATGTTGCTAAAAAGAACATTATTTGTGTATTTGGTGTAATGAAATGTGTTTATGCGGTTTAAGGTACAAAAAACACATTATTTTCCACATACTGTACATTATTGTTTCTCCTCTATGCCCCGCCTTTCTGAAACGCGTCGATTTTTACAAAGCTCATCGGTCTGAAAAGCGAAGTGTGCTCTGATTGGCCAGCTATCCAGTGCATTGTGATTGGCCGAATACCTCAAGCGTGTGACGGAAATGTTATGCCCCTACCATACTGTGATGCCCTGTGTCCCGGCCGGAGCGATGAGAAAAAAACATTAAAACCCATTCAATTATAAACGAGGCATTTGTTGCATCCAGTGGGGACATAATTACGGATTATAATGACTTATACTGTCTTTTTACG